GGACAAGGACAATACAGGAAAAGAAAACATTATCACAATCTATCTTACTTACGAGTATAGAAGCAAAATCTTAAAACATAACTAGAAAGCAAGGAAAAGACAAATCTGTTCTTATTTGCAGACAAGTACTTCTACAAAGAATATATAAAAGAATTTACACACAATTAGAATAAAAGAGTTCAGCAGGGATGCTCAATATAAGATCAATATACGCATTCAATTAATGGCATTCTTGTACACCAACAATAATCGATTTAAAAACATAATAGAGAAAAGATCCCATTTATAATTGCAACAAAAACTGTAAGGTACCAGGAACAAATAAATGAATAAATACATAAATAAACAAAAAAATATTAAAACTCAGTATTACAATGATGGCAATTTCCCCCAAGTTCACTTAAAATAAAAAATAATTTCAATCAAAATGCCAACAGTGTTTTATGTTTTACATGGATAAACGGATTCTAAAATTCATATACAAAAGTGGCAAGAATGGTTAACATAATTTTGAAGAGCAAGGTAGGGGAAATGTGGATTAACACAAAGTTATAGAAATAGACCAATGGAACAAAAGAGAGAGCCTAAAAATGGAACTTGAATATGACAGAGGCTGCATTACAATTTAGATGGGCTATTTGATAAATGGTGCAGAAAGCATAGTGCTTATTCATATGAAAAATAAAATTATGTTCTTCATAACATAGAAAAAATATATTTCAAGGGATTAGAGATATGAGTCAAAAAAATCAAATTTTAAAAATTGCTAGGGGCACCTGGGTGGCTCAGGTGGTTAAGCATCTGACTCTTGAGGCTCAGGTCATGACCTCGGGTCCTGGGATAGAACCCCACATAGGGCTCCTCACTCAGCACAGAATCTGCTTCAGATTCTCTCTCTCCCTCTGCCCCTCCCCCTGCTCACGCCCACTCACTCTCTCAAATTAATAAATAAATCTTTTTAAAAAATAAATAAATAAAATAAAGCAAATAACCCAACAGAGCAATGGACAAAGTAGCAAATGAGTGAAATCACAGAAGAGAAACCCCAAATGGCCAATAAACCTATGAAAACATGATCAATCTTAAAAGGGGAATAAAAATTACTATGGCATTGAGATACTGTTTTAAAGTCTGGCAAAACTTAAAAGCCTGAGAACACCATGATGGGGAAAAATGGGAAATCCATACTCAACTGTGAGTGTAAATTAAAATAACCATTTGGTTTGATGATGGATCTTACAATGCAACAATTTCACTTTCTGGTACATACCTCATGGAAATTCTTGGACATGTGCAAGGAAGATAGATATTATAAGAACGTTCACTGCAAAATGGTTTATAACAGCAAAAAAAGTTGGAAAGTACATGTTCATAAAAGAATGAGTGAATAAATTGCAGTATATTTATATATTAGACTAAGAAGGCAGTTGAAATGAACAAATTAGTAGTACACACATAAAACTGAGTGGGAAAAAAGCAAACTACAGAATGATTTCACTTAATGGATTTTTAAAACTTGCAAATACCAAGTTTTACAGATCTGTAAATACTCAGCCACAATATAAAAATATTGGGAAGAATGAAAAACCACCATCTTTATGAGAAGGGTTACCTCTCGGGAGGGAGAGGAAAAAGAATGTGAATACCTAAGGGAACAGAGGCAGGCATCAGCTGTGTGTTTAATGATAGTTAGCCAGCCAGCCAGAAAAACAGAAAGACAGATATAATGTTAAGATTTCAAGGCAGTTTGGATATGAGTGCACAGGTGTTTGCTACGCTATTTACTATACTTCTATATATTTGAAACATTTTATAATATAAACTTCCTTAAAAGGAAACACATTTTTAAAAATGAACTAGAGGGGCCCCTAGGTGGCTCAGTAGGTTAAGCGTCTGCCTTTGGTTTAGGTCATGATCCCAGGGTCCTGGGATGGAGCCGCATTGGTCTCCCTGCTCAGCAGGAAGTCTACTTCTCCCTTTCCCTCTGCCCTCCCCCCAGCGTCGTGCCCTTTCTCAAATAAATAAAATCTTAATAATAAATAAAAATGGACTAGAGCTACAGCATTAATATAAATACATCTCAAAAACTAAATGTTAAGTTAAAAAATCAAGTTACAGAAACATGTATAGTATGGTATCATTGTATTACATATTTTTGTAAAACAGTTTTTCCACAGTTACATACATATTGGTTGGTTGTATAGACTTTCATGGGAATGGTATATTCCAAATTCAGGATGATGGTTACCTCTGGGCAGGGTGTAAGAGGAACAGGACTGGGGAAGGGTACATAGGGAACTTCAGCCAAATCTGTAAAGATTTCTTTTAAAAGTCTGAAGCAAGGGGCACCTGACCAGCTCAGTCATTAAAGTGTGAGACTCTTGCAGGGTAGTGAGTTCAAGCCCCACGCTGGGTGTAGAGCTTACTTAAAAATTTAAAATAAATAAATGAAAGTCTGAAGCAAATATGGATGGCATTTGGTAAAGCTTGGTACTGGACGGTTTTTAGAATCCCATATTTATATATATGTATGTATGTGAATAACAGCAGGAACAATAATAAATGAAGAAAATGAATGAGAGTTAACATCTACTTATTATGCAGTAGGCACTCTTCTAAACGCATGCATGTATACTAAGAACAACCCGAGGAAGTAGATTCTGCTTATTTCTAATACTATCTATTATTATTTTAATACTATTAGATTCTATTACTCATTTTACAGATGAGGAATTAAAGCAGAGAAGTGAAGCTGGCCTAAGATTATAAAGTTAGTAAATAGTGAAAGTAAGATATGAAGCCAGGATTTGTGCTCCAGAGCTTAAAGCTTAATTACCATGTTACTGTTAAAATGTCATTCTCTATTCTTTTCAGTATATCATAAATAATTAATTTCCAATGTTATTTCTGTATGTTGGAAATTAAAAACACTTTTAACCCATGACCACAAAAAAAAATGCATATACACACATACATATTTCTGTTCAGCTCACACTGGTTCTAAAGATGCTGAAAGAATTCTAGGAATGTCCTGAAAATAGTGGCATCCCAACTACTCTATCAATTTATATATTTGAGGTTTGGTATTTTTTAGATTGTTATTTTATAATCAAACATTATTTTTCAGTAGTCCTAAGATAATATATATCTGGAATCTTAGATAACTTATATAAAGAAACATATGATGTAATTCAACCATCTCTTTCTCTCTCATTAGAGGCAAAATTCCATTACTTAGCTTCAGGCCTGAAAACTCATATTAAGAGTTTTTAATAAGTCATTCTGTCAAGAAATTCAATTTCAATCATTCATTTTTTCTGGTCTCTCAATATAAGTTGTTTTTTAAAAGCCCATAGCTAATATTTATACAATAATAAACTGGCATTCTCAGTCATTAAATATTTATCAGCAGTGGGGTGCCTGGGTGGCTCAGATGGTTAACTTGTCTGCCTTCGGCTCAGGTCATGATCCCAGGGTCCTGGGATAGAGCCCCACATCGGGTTCCTGGCTCAGCGGGGAGCCTGCTTCTCCCTCTCCCTCTGCCTTTCTCCCTGCTCATGCTCTCTCTCTCTCTTTCTCTCTCTGTGTCTCAGATGAATAAATAAAAAAAAAAATCTTAAAAAAAAATATTTATCAGCATTGATTATGTGCTAATCACATACTCTTTGTCCGTGGTACCACCGTTACCATTTCTTTTTTTTTTTTTTTTTAAGATTTATTTATTTATTTTAGGGAGAGAGAGAGAGTGAGAGTGAGTGAGGGGTGTGGGAGAGGTGTGGGGCAGGGGCAGAGGAGGGAGAGGGAGAGAATTTCAAGGAGACACCCCGCTGAGCACAGAGCCCACAAGGCACTCAGTCTCAACCCTGAATTCATGACCTGAGCCAAAACCAAGAGTCAGACGCTCAACCGAGCCACTCAGGCACCCCTACCATTTCTTAAAAATGTCTTTTCTCCATCTACATAGCCACATTCTCAATGTATCATCTACCCACCTATAGAATATGTATTCAAAAAATATGAAAATATGAAAAAGAAGTTCTTGCTTTCAAAGACTTCACTCTAGCAGGAGAAAGAGACAAACAAGAATTATCTATAATACATAAATACTTTTAAAAAGGTAATTAAACCTTAACGGTCAGGAAAGATGAAAGGATGGCTGGTGCCCTTTTAACAGCTAACCTGGAACATGAACAGGAGACAGCAATGGAGACTATTCTTTCGAGAAAACTTATCTTAAAAGGAAGAGAGGATGATAGCTAGGGGCACAGGTTCTAGAGAAGGTTTTAAGATAGAGAAATACTTAGCATCAACTATTCTGAACTACTTTCCTTGCTACATTCCTCTCCTAACACTAAATCCCAGTCTGGATATAAGCAAGTCACTTAACATTTCTAAGCCCCACGAGAGAGATGTTTAAGAACTCTAAATTACGAGGAAAACTGAATAAATTACCTCTAAAGTTCTTTCTAGACCTAAAATTCTATGATTCTGTCACTATGATCATCTGACCTGTTTAAATTCAAAGGTAAATCATAAAATATTCAGTATGCAAAAAAGAAAAACCAAGACCAATTAAGAGATGAACTAGTTTGTACAATTGCATTCTATTACTTTTGCAAAACAGTTAAAACAATTCCTCTTCTGGCCATCAGTAAAATTTTCACAAAAGACAGTGCATTTTTACCAGTTGGTAAAGAGCTTCTCACCCTCAAACCTGTAGACTTCTAAACAATCCCCAAGCAAACTGTTCTGTGACAACAGAAGTAAATTGCTTAAAAGCCCATAGCTTAGACTTGTAAAAGTCATCTTTTAAATGGAAGAGGTTTATAGAAACATGTATATTACATTCTTTCTACAATATATTTGTTCATTATCTTTAAAATTTTAATGTACAGGTTCATAAACAGTGTTTTTTAAAAAACTAGCTAAGATTAGATCTTCACAGTAATAGGCTTTTTCACTATCACACATTCTGAAATTTAGAACAAGGTTTCCCTTACCTGATATGGACACGGAATGTGATATTCTCTGCAGCGTTCTTGTATCCATGTTGTTTCCCAGATGCCACGGTAAGCTTGTTCATAAAAGTAGCATCCAATTACAACCAAGAGTGGTACGAGATAAAGAATGCTGAAAACACCAATCCGGATCATAAACTTCACCAACTTATCTTGGTTCTCCTTTTCTAATGGAATTTCAATTCGAACTCTGTTTAGGGATATAATGCCAGCTAAGAGGAGAGAAACTCCAACTACCACATACAGGCAGAGGGGAGCAAGAACAAAGTATCTCAAGGCATCAACATCGTAGAGGCCAACAAAACACACGCCACTGATATTGTCACCTTCAATTTTATTCATCGCTAAAAGGACGATAGTTAGAGTTCCAGGGATGCCCCATGCACTGGCGTGAAATAGCAATGCTTTCTTCTCAATAGCTTCACTACCCCACTTTGGCACAGCTGCCAAGAACCATGTGATGGTAAGAATTACCCACCAAACACTGCCAGCCATAGTAAAAAAATAGAGTACCATAAAAAGCATGGTACAGGCTTTATTATGAGATCCTTGTGTCACTGTGGAAGCCTTATACTGTGCAGGGCTAGATGCATTGCAGGCTACTCGGTCTTCAAGCAAAAACCCAATGAAGAAAATTAATGATACCATCATGTAGCAGACAGCATAAAATATAATAGGTCTTTCAGGATAACGGAATCTTGTGACATCAATTAAAAAAGTTAAAAAAGTAAACAACGTGGCAGAGAGGCAAATGATTGAAATCAATCCTATGAAGTATCGAGCAAATGAAAGTTCTTCTCTCCTAAAGTACATATTTGGACAAGGAGGTGAACAATCACGCACGTGTAAAAAAGAATAACCAAGATCAGGGTCAATTTTCAACTCTCGAGGACACCAAAAACCATAGTCCCTCTGCACTGCCACTGGAGCTCCTTCAGTAGGATCACCAGCTAAATTCAGATCCACAAGTCGAGGATATGGCTCATCACAATCTGGGAACCTAAAAAAATACAAGATGAGAACCATTTTCACTTATTGGGAAGTCTATTGATACTTAACAATTTGGATTTCCAAATTTAGCACTCATGACCTTATTCATTCTAATATCCTTGGAGTACAATTACATTAAGTAGAAATAAAGTAAATGTTGATTCTTGTTTATGGGCCATACAATTAGACTGTCCACTGTTGATCAAAAAATGATATGGTTTTATACTTAATTTAGTTTTGGCTTCAAAAACAATACTTTTTTAAAGTTTATTTATTTTTTTTAGTAATTTCTACTCCCAACATGGGGCTTGAACTCACAACCCCTGAGAACAAGAGTTGCATGCTCTTCTAACTGAGCTAGCCAGGTGCCCCAAAGAGTATTCTTTTAATTAAAATAGTCTAAAATAGCCATCAATAAGTAACACTGTATATAGAGAGTATTTAAGATACACACTTTATTTTTTTTAAAGATTTATTTATTTATTTATTTGAGACAGAGAGAATGAGAGAGAGAGAGCACATGAGAGGGGGGAGGGTCAGAGGCAGAAGCAGGCTCCCTGCCGAGCAGGGAGCCCGATGCGGGACTCGATCCCGGGACTCCAGGATCATGACCTGAGCCGAAGGCAGTCGCTTAACCAACTGAGCCACCCAGGTGCCCCAAGACACACACTTTAAAATAAGATTTTAAAATATATACATTATTATAAAAGAAATGAATACATAGCTCTAACAAAAGAGTAGCTTTTTCCCAACCTTTAACTAGTTACCCTAGATTCAGTGGAACTTCCTTAAGCAGAAATGTTAAAAAAATCTTTCCCAAATGCATAGCCCAAGGATTTTTTAGCAATAAAAAAATCCTTATAAGTGGCTGAGTTTTTAGATCTTTTCTTCCCATTTTATATTTGCTCCCTGCTTAGCATATTGATTAATTACAGTCCTTCTAAGGTCTCTAATGTGAACTACTTCTTTCTTACCACCCCTAATTTCTCTCCAATCCATTACATTCTCTAACTCACTTATTCTCAAACTTTGGTGTACATAAGAAAAACTTAATATTGTTTTAAAAATAAAAGTTCAGGGGCACCTGGGTGGCTCAGTTGGTTAAGTGCCTGCCTTCGGCTTAGGTCATGATCCAGGAGTCCTGGGATCAAGCCCCAAGTTGGGCTCCCTGCTCAGCAGGGAGTCTGCTTCTCCCTCTTTCTCTGCTCCCCCTCACTTGTGCTCTCTCTCTCTCACTCTCTCAAATAAATAAATAAATAAAATCTTTTAAAAAATAAATAAAAATAAAAATAAAAATTCTTGGGGCGCCTAGGTGGCTCAGTCAGTTAAGCATCTACCTTCAGCTCAGGTCATGATCCCGGGGTCCTGGGATTGAGCCCCATGTCAGGCTCCCCGCTCAGCAGGGAACCTGCTTCTCCCTCTCCCTCTGTCCTCTTGCTTGTGCTCTCTCTCTTGCTCTAATAAATAATAAAATCTTTAAAATAAATAAATAAATAAGAAAATTCCTGCTTCCCACCACCACAAATCATATTACAGTATACCTGTGTGAGGGCCCAGAAATTTACATTTTAGCAAGTTTCCAAAGGGACAAGATCTGCAGACTTGAGAAAGTATCACAGCTGCAGGACAAATAAAACGGGTTTGTGGTGCAGACATGAGTAAAGATACCATTCTCATGAACTTCTTGCATCTTCAATTGTCTTGCCTGTATCAGTTCCTAAGCCTTCAGACTCCCACTAACTAGATGTCTAACAGTTTATATGCATCAAATAGTTTCCAAGAAACCATCATTGATATTAAGTTTGACAAAAACATGCATAACCTTATGCTGTAGCTGATTAATCTTTTATTTTCTAACATAATCCATTTTCTTCACTAGACTTGGAATTATAAATCTAAATGAGAGAAACTTATTGCATTTAAGCATTTGTTTATATCCTGCAGTATGTCAGGCATTAAACGTAAAAAGACAAAAAACCAGGCTTTCTATCCCGCAGTCTAAAAAGATACAAACTTGTAAATACAAAATTGGGATATATGAACAAACAAACTCTATATAAAGTATAAAAATAATACAAAGGATTAATTCTTCCAAAGGATGAGATTATGAAAGACTTCATAAAATAAGACTCTCAAATACAGGATTTTGAGTCAGTATTTGACAGTTCTGGTGGTATGCCAATCAGTATTCTAGCAAGAAATGCAAGCAATGGCAAAGAGATTTGAACAGGGTAGTTTAATATTGCTGGAGCATGAAGTGGGCATGACTTGTGACAGGAGATCAGGTTGGAGAGATAAGCATGTTGCAGAAGAGAGAGAGAGAGAGAGAACAGTGATACTGAATTTAAAACCATGCAAAGTTATACTTTATGCTTTTATGACTGTGTTTGTATACCCAATTGCCCCTCAATATATATATATATACTTCACTCTATAACCTTTCCAAAAACCAAACTCTTTTGATTTCTACTCCTTAAGTTTCCCCATTTCCATAAGTGGTAATTCCATTCTTCTAGTTGCTCAGGCCAAAAACCTTGGGGTCATCCTTGAAATACTTTCCCTCTAATACATACCTCACAATCTACCAGCAATTTCTATCATTGTACCTTATGACATATCTTCTCATTTCCTCCACTGCCTCTGTGCAGTTTGAGCCTAATATTAATACCTCTTCCCTGAACTTCTGGAGTGTCTCCCAATTGATCTCCATTTCCACACAGCAGTCAGTGATCCTTTACAGACATGCCACTCCTGTGCTCATGATCATGTCTCTCCTGCTCTAAGTCCTCTAATGCTTTCCCACCTCACTAAGAGTCAAATCCAAATTCCGTATCAGAGCTACAAAGACCCTATGGCCAGTATTTTTCTGATCTGATATCCTTCCATTCTCCCTAACTTACTTGGCTCCAGATTCTCTGGTTCCCTTGTTCTTTGACTAATCCAAGCATGCTTCCATTTCAAAGCAGTTGCACTAACTGCTGTTTCCTATGCCTAGGTTATTCTTCCTTAGATATCTGGATTATTTGTTTCTCATTTCGTTCGGGTCCCTACTCTAATTCTTCTTTATCAAAAAGGCCTTCCCCAATATCACCATAGAAAAGAGTCTTCTGCTTCCACCCAACCCTATTTTTTTTCTTATTAGCATTCATTACCATCTGGCATTATCTATTTATTTGTTCTCTCTCCTACCACTACTAGAATTTTAGTTCCATAAGAACCAACACTATATTTTGTTCACTACTTATCTTTAGCATCTAGACTAATGCCTAACACACAGGACACATCCAATTAATATTTGTTGAGTTAATGATTGTTGAATAAACATATTCATATAGACCTAACCCAGGTAATTAGAAAGATGACTAGGAGCAGTGTCAAATGGGAGCAGAGATATTAGTTGATTCAAATAATACCAGAATTAAAACCAGATAAGGCAGGGGCACCTGGCTGGCTGAGTTGGTAGAACATGTGACTCTTGATCTCCAGGTTCTAAGTTTGAGCCCCATGTTGGGTGTAGAAATTACTTAAAAAAAATAAAACATCTTGGGCGCCTGGGTGGCTCAGTTGGTTGGGCGACTGCCTTCGGCTCAGGTCATGATCCTAGAGTCCCTGGATCGAGTCCCGCATCGGGCTCCCTGCTCGGCGGGGAGTCTGCTTCTCCCTCTGATCCTCTCTCTCTCTGTCTCATTCTCTCTCTCAAATAAATAAATAATAAAATCTTTAAAAATAAATAAATAAATAAATAAATAAATAATAAAACATCTTAAAAAGAAATAAAGCTAGTTAAGGTTCTGGGAATGAGACAGATATGAAATTAGTTAGATAAAAGCAATACAGTTTGTAACTGATTGGATGTGGGAGCTAAGGTCAATGAAGGAGGAACAGAAGGTGACTTATAGAGAATTAAAAAATGAGCAAAGGAAAATCAATGTTAGACATGTTGAAATTGAGGTATTTGAGACAAATGCAGGCTAGGATTTCCAATGGCTGCTAGATATGCAGATTTGGAACTCAGCAAAAAGATGTCAAAGCTATAGATTTAGGTGTAGGAGTCAGCAGCAAATGAGTAAAAGAGTTAAAATGAGTGAGATGAGATCATCCTGGGAAAGCACACAGAATCAAAAAGAATAGGAACAGAACTGTGGAAAGCACCAATACTCAAGGGGTAGTAAGAGGAAGAGGATCCAAAAAAAGAAATTAAGAATAATTGGTCTGAGAAATAGCAGACCAGAATAGTTCACATATGATGGCTTAAATGATTTTCACGAAAAGAGGGAAAGTTGAGGTTGTGAAGAATTAGTATGAAATACAGAATAAAGGTGAAATATGGGTTTGAAGTGAGTGATATAGATTTGACAGAGGTGCTGAGAGGAATAAACAGAGATTATTCTGTTGACCAATCTGGAAATTTGCCAAAGACAAACAGCAAACAGAACTGCTACGGTTGACATCTTAAATATATAGCACAATTAATTTGTAAGAAATGGGTTGAATCAATCCAGTTGGAAATCTGAACAAGTTCAATAGAAGGAATGAGTTGAAATTGCTAGCAAGAGTGTCATTTCAAGTGACAGACCACAAAGCTTAAGTAAGGAAATAAATGAGATTAGGAAGAGTGATATTAGGAGAGGGGAAAAAAAAAACCAAAGTCTTAGAGTGTCCAGGTAGTTCAAGAGCAATAGGAAGAAGAATAGGAGAGATGTGGAAGAATGAAAGGTTGTTATAAAAGACTGGTTTGCCAGAATTTAAGGTTTCATAGTTAGTCAATGCCAGGCAACAGTAAGGACATAAAACAGATTTAACCCCATCAAAATAATGAAGATGATAATGAGATTTCTATACTTGTATATAAACTATTAATATAAAAAGACCGCTAAATAATGGGAGTTAGCTACCAGAAACATAAAATAGAGTTCCTGCCCAAATAATTCATAACTGTTATTATAAACACCAAGAAATTAACAGACTTCTAAAAGAGGGGCTGTAAACACTTCCACATGTTTGGGGATAAAGTGGATGGTTACATGGGACTAGATAAGGAAACATGTTAAACAGGTGGGAAATAAAGTAGACAAATACGAGAAAGCAAAATGTCAGTGAACTGACTATAAGAAACTGATATGTTTTATTTCTGAAGTTTTCCCAAATGCCAAATGAGAGTAACAACACCTGCTTTTTACCCACCTCCAAGGGCTATTTTTAGATGACAAAATTAATTTTAATATGAAGGAGAAAAAATGTTCATTGCAGCATTACTGATAACAGCAAACACCCAGAAATAATTTAAATGACCATCAATAGGAAATGGTTAAGTAACTATGGAATATTAATATAGTAGTCCATTACGTAGCAATTAAAAGGAATGAACCAAACCTACAGATATAAATATACATATATTTTTAAATTTTAATGTTGTTTATAGATCTGTATATATGTAGTAAGAGTATAAAAACAAATATAGAAATGATTAACAACATAGTCAACATAATTATTACCTCATCTCTGGGGAGGAAAGAAGGGAATGAAATCAAGATGGGTACCAAGGAAGGAACTTTCAGCTCTACCTGTATTATTTCTTAAAAAAAAAAAGTGACTAATCCAAGTATCACAAAATGTTAAGACTGGATAAAGTTAGACAACAATAGTACATATGCATTTATCTTATTATTCCTTATTTCTGAAACATTTCACAATACAAAAAGGTACATTATTATATTAGAAATATAGTATTACTCTATACATTATTACTAACAATAAACATTCTCTTATATAAATCTGTAAGACTGTCTAGTAAACATCGTCAAATCTTTAGGAAATGCTTATAATCTATATTTTGGAAATGATCTGAAAAGTATCTGACATTTCCTAATTCTGGTTTGTTAATTCATGACAAAAAAAGAGTTGACAGAACTACTTTAGTCATTAACACGTCTAAATCATACAGATATTTAATTTCCACTAAGTGATCATTAAAGACATTTAATGCTGAGGTAATGAATGATTATTTTCTTCTCTATATTTTCTAATTGCATTACTAATAGCATTACTTGTATAACCAGAAAATAAATTTTTTGAGGGAAGAAAAATCAACTTTATGTCTTGATTGTTTTTCTTAATTCTTTTAAAAATTTCTTCATTGAAATGTTTTTTCCTTTTCTATCTTTTCATTTAGTGATTTCAAGTTCCTAAGGAAATGAACAATTCTGAGGCCATGAAACTGCTGTTCAAAATTAAGATTAATACATACTTCAAAAAAAGTTTTTAAAAACTGATGAATTAGAGAACAAGTAATTTTAAACATACTGTAGCATTAAGTAATGATCCATGAAAATCTATGATTTTCGCACCTACTGCATTCCATATCTTCAGGCCAAGGAACACCAAACATCTCCATGAGCTCCGAACACTCACTGTAAGCCCGCTGACACAGCCTACGACAGGGAAGTGTGACACGTCCATATTCCATACAAATAGGAGCATAGAGTGCACAAAGAAATGGCCGAAAATCCCGAGAACAATCCAGATTCACCATTGGGTGGAATGGCTAGGAAAAAGTTAAAATTGAATAATTAGAGAAAGAATTGTATACAAGTTAAAGCTTCCAATATAGAATATTACAATATTCTTTTTTTTTCCATTTTAAAAATTTCTGAAGGCTATTAAAATTTCTGAAGGAAAGTTTTTGGTTTTTGAAACAAAATCTTCTTCTATATCCCTAAAGATTCTGAATTGGTTAAGACTGAGGTGTATTTCAGAAACTATATGTGTATTTTATTAGTTAGAGGTGATATTAATGAAGAGGCAGGACTGAGAATCACAGTATGATCCATTTTACATAGGAAAGAAAATCCATAAAAGATATGTGCCAAATGCTCAAAAAGTGGTTATTGCTTGGTGACAGGATTATAAGAGATTTTAATTCTCTTCCTTTTATGTATTTCAATTTCTACATTTTCTTCAACTAACAAGTATCAACAGGAGAGAGCAGACAAAATGCTAAAAGAGGAAAGGGAGTGGGAGTGGAGGAAGAGAAGTAGTTATACATAGCAGTAGTTATTTTGAGAGTGAGGGAGAGGGAAGGATCTCTCACATTTGTCTCATATTTTCCTGTTCTTGTTACATTAAAAAAAATTTTTTTTAACTGATATCACATGACATAAACAGAACTAACGCTGTAAACTGATACTAAGGAAACAAAAGGAGAAAATAGTGGCCCCAGACATAAAACCATGCTTAAATAATCATTATAACCACAGGAATAGATCAAATATCCCAATAAGTATGCATCTGAGTTTTTTACTATTAAATATTTTTTCACTTATTTATATAATAGTTTCAGAATCACTGCTGATTTTGATCTGGTAACAGATATTCTCACCACTAAGCCTTTCTATCGAGTAAGAATCAATCAATTTTTACATTGATATATAATATTTTCCAAAGGCCTCCTATACAAGATGCAGTCAGAAAACCAAGAGTCACTTAAAGAAACTGAGTTAACTGTATAATGGACATGGTACCCAACATATAACAATAAACTATATGTGACCATCACTCCCAAGGATGAAGGAGTAGCTTGTGTTAAACCAATGTTTCCATCAAGAATAATTTTAAAATATAGAAAAACAGTTTTAAAACATCTATTTAAAGCTACTGAAGAACTGTTGAAGCAAAACAACTAGAGAGACCAAGAATATAGAGAGTAGGAAACATGGAAGGGGCCTGATAAGTGCAGCTGCTTTTCCAAGGAGGCATTCGTTGAATCTGGGCATAAGGCAAGAGGCTGAGAATCAAGCTTTGACTAGGCTGGTGCTAGAAACCAGCACAGCTTTGGTGGTCTTACAAGGCTACAGACAAAATTCAAAATGAAAGGAATAAGACGTAGGTGAGAAGGGGAAGTGCCAAGGATTGAGTCTGACACAGAGCCAATTTTCCCTTCAAGAAATCTGAAAATTCTGAAGCTGCATGAGGAAGGAGCTAAGAAGCTAAGCAGAAAGCCTCTGAAAAGCAGAGTGGAGATTCTGGCAGTTATATCATACTGAGGAAACATGGATTAGAGTTCAAGTCCTGCCAGGGGAACTGAACATACCAGACTCTCTCAGCTGGAAGTTCTGAATAGCTACACTCTAGTTGCAGTGGCAAATCAGAAGGAGGCAGAGACCTACCAAAAGTGTAACCCTGCCTCAACTCAGCTCAGTCCCTGATGGAATTAAGGTGATCCACCATTTATCTGCTAATTAGAAGAAAGGGTGAACTTTCTCTGGAGTAATAGAACATCTTCTGGAACCTCACCAACATTTCGTAATGTCTAACACTAAAACAAAAAAAATTACTAGGTATTTCAAGAGACAGGACCATATGGGGTGCCTGGGTGGCTTAGTTGGTTCAGCCTTTGGCTCAGGTCATGATCTCAGGGTCCTGGGATCCGGCCCCCCATCAGGCCTTCTGCTCAGCGGGGAGTCTGTTTCTCCTTCTCCTTCTGCCCCTTCCCACCTGGCTCATGTGCACTCTCTCTCTCTCCCCTCAATCTCTCTCTCTTTCTCTGTGTGTCAAATAAATAAATAAAATCTTTTAAAAAAAGAGAGAGAGGAGACAGGACCATATGATTAAAACCAAGAAAAAAAATTACAATGTTTTGGTGATCCAGCTATTGAGCTTAATATACAAGACTGTATATAACTATGTCAAATATGTTCAAGAAAATAACAATGAAGAATTTCGGAATCAAGTGGAAATTTTGTAACTGAAATATACAATTGGAATTAAGAACTCATTAGATTTATCAGAAGACAGAATTGGCAAAACAAAAAACAAGGCAATAGGAAATATCCAAACAGAAGCACACAGACCAAGAAATACTGAAAAATACATTAAAAAAACATAAGAGACATGTGAAACATGGGAAAGCCTAAGATATACATAACTGGAATCTTAAAAGGTGGGGAGAAAGAGAATGGGCAGAGGCACTATATAAAAATATGATGACTGAGAATTTTCTAAAGCTAATTGAAGATAACAATCTACAGATTCAAAATCTTCTGCAAACCCCAAAAAGGATAAATATAAGAAAATCACATCTAGGCAAATGTTAAATTGTTGAAAACTAAAGAAAAATATCTGAAAAGCAGCCAATGGGGGGTGCAGGGAGATAATTTACCTTTAACAGAGCAACAGTTAACACTCAGAGCTGACTTTGGAAAACTATAAAACAATAGAATGACTTACTTAAAGAGCTAAGGAAAAATAACTGCAAACTTATAAGTCTACAGCCAGCAAAAACATCCTTCATAAATGAAGGCAAAATAAAGACATTTTCAGACAGACAAAAAAATCAGTCACCAGCAAACCTGCACTCAAGTGTTCTTCAGACAGAAGGAAGATGATCAAAGATGAAAACTCAAAAGTACTTAAAAGCAACAAAAGGGGTGAATATGTGGGAAAATATAAACGAATACCCCCGTACCAATAAAAAATAATGTCTTAAAATACATACAAAACACAGATATATATATATATTTTAAGATTTTATTTATTTATTTGACAGGGAGAGATAGTAAGAGAGAAAACAAGCAGGGGCAGCAGCAGGCAGAGGGAGAGGGAGAAGTAGGCTCCTTGCTGAGCAAGGAGCCCAATGTGGGGCTCAATCCCAGGACTCTGAGTTCATGACCTGAGCTGAAGGCAGACACTTAACCAACTGAGCCATCCAGATGCCCCCAAAACACAGGTATATTAATATGCATAATAATAAAATGGAAAAGATGGGAGGCCAGAGGGAACACTAATGGGGTAGTGTTTAAAATAATGATTTTATTAAGAGTATAAGTCATAAGTACATATCATAATTTCTAGGGTAAACAATAAAAGAATGCACAATGAGGTAAAACAGAAGGAAACAGTAGAACACAAAAGAAGACAAGATCGGAGAGAAAAAGAAAAGCAAAACAGTTTGGTCACATTGAAATCAAATAGTAAGATAGTAAATATTAGCCCAAGTACAACAGTAATTACATTAGATATACATGGATTAAAAACTCTAAGTAAGGGGTGCCTGGGTGGCTCAGTTGGTTAAGTGTCTGCCTTCGGCTTGGGTCATGATCCCAGGGTCCTGGGATCGAGCCCCGTGTCGGGTTCCCTGCTCTTTTGGGGAGCCTGCTTCTCCCTCTCCCTGCCGCTCCCCCGGCTTGTGCTCTCTCTGTCAAATAAATAAATAAAATCTTAAAAAAAAGAAAAACACTTTAAAAAAGACTAAGAGGGGGCGCCTGGGTGGCTCAGTTGGTTAAGCGACTGCCTTCGGCTCAGGTCATGATCCTGGAGTCCCGGGATCGAGTCCCGCATCGGGCTCCCTGCTCGGCAGGGAGCCTGCTTCTCCCTCTGGCCCTCCCCCCTCTCATGTGCTCTCTGTCTCTCTCATTCTCTCTGTCTCAGATAAATAAATAAAATCTTTAAAAAAAAAAAAAAAAAAGACTAAGAGTTTTGGACTAGGTAAAAACAAAAACAAAAACACTATGCTGTTTACAAAGACACATTTTTCAATATAAAGAAACAGGTTAAAAGTAAAAGAAAGGTAAATGGTAATGCAAGAACTAACCAAAAGAAAGAGTAGATTTTTATGACAAGAAGTGTTCCCGGAGATAAAGGGCATTTCATAAGACAAAAGAATCAATTCACCAATACTAAAAAGTAGATCTAAACATATATAGACCACTTAACATAGCTTCAAATTATTTTAATCAAAAATAGACAAAACTAAAAGGGAAAATATACAAAGCCACACTCCGAGTGAGAGATTGATACACTTCTCTCAGTAAGCGACAGAAGAGCAAGACAAAAATTCTGTAAGAATACAGAAAATCTAAACAAGCCAATTACAAATTTGATCTAAATAACATTTATAATCATGATGTCTAACAATAACTGGATCCTATTTAACAGACACATGGAATCTTTATCAAAATTGGCCATTATTCTAGATCCTAAAGCATGCCACAACAAACTTCAGAGAATTAAAATCAGTCACAGAAGGTTCTACGACTAAAATGTAAGGTATAAATCAATTACATAAAAAGCCCAAACCCAACTGCTTGAAAATTTGGAAATTAGACAACAAACTCCTAAATAACCCATAATTAACAAAGGGAATCATAAGAGAAATGTAAGTTATATATATAATTATATAGATTATATAATCTATGTATAAATGTAAATAAAGACAAATATCAGCAAAAGCTGTACTCAGAGAAAATTTACAATCTGATATACACGTATCAGAAAATAAGAAAGCCTGGGGTGCCTGGGTGGCTCAGTCGTTAAGCTTCTGCCTTTGGCTCAGGTCATGATCTCAGGGTCCTGGGATCGAGCCCCACACCGGGCTCCCTGCTCAGCAGGGAGTCTGCTTCTCCCTCTGACCCTCCTCCCTCTCCTGCTCTGTCTCTCATTCTCTCTCTCTCAAATAAATAAAATCTTAAAAATAAATAAATAAATAAAGTGCCAATTCTCCCCCAAATAATTTCCAGATTTAATGAAATTTCTACCAAAATGCAGCAT